GCTAATTGCAGCCCCGGGGACGGCAGGACGAGGCAGTCGCCAGCCCACAGCGCCGGGCTGAGACCCAGCGCAGGGGACGCGGTGGGTCCCGCCGTGGAGAGGGATGGGTGACACCCTGCAGCCATATCCCGCACCCCACGGGGTGCTGGGGTGCCCCTGTACCAGGATGGGACGTGTCTGGCAGCAGCACAGAGGTTCCAGCTCCTGGTGCAGCTCACCCCAGACCCGGTGCTGCAGAATCCATCCTCTCCAAGCCAGGCTGCTCCGCATGGAAACCATCCCTGACATCAGTGCTGGACCAGTCCCACACCAGGGTCCGACCTCACCTGGCATTGCTTGCTGGCACCTTCCCACGCCACCAAGGCCAAGCAGGGATTGGGACATGGCTGTGCCCTCTGCGACAGCACGCCCTAGGGCCACAGGCAGGTTTGGTTGCTCTTCTGCTAACTCTGTTTAATGAGGATGTTAATTAAGAGCGACTCAAGGCCAGCCCTTGTGGTAGCGCCCAGGGTTGTCCTGCAGTGCTGTGCTGAGCTCGTTATCATCATCCCATGCACCCTGTGTCACCTGGCTGCCAGTGGGCACCCTGGGGACAGCAACCCTGGGTGCCACTTTCCCACCAGCAGCAGTGGAGACAGCCTGGCACAGGGGCTGTGCCTGACAGTGGTTGAACACGGAGGAGAGGATGGGTTCACCCTTGGGGTATGCCTGAGGTCCTGCCTGGGCAGGAGCTCGTTAGTCAAGGCTCCAGGCCAGCACAGGACTGTACACCTACACACACACCTGGGATGTCCACCTACACACAACACCCAGCATGGGGTTGAGCTGCAAGTGGGGTGGAGGGCATCCAGCACCCTATCTCCCCATATCCCACCTCCCCATCAGGCAGGGTTTGAATCCTACCTCTCTCCATCTCCATCCTTTCTCTCAAATCTGTTTACCCATCCCCATTACCCAGGGGAAATCCCTGCTCCCTCTGTCCCTTGTTAATGTCCATGTCCTCTCTGCCAGCAGGACATGCCCTGCTATAGCTCCTGTTCCCTGCCAGTGCCCATCTCTCCTGCTAACACCCATGCTTCCTGCCAGTGTGGCACAGCGGAGTTTGCTATGCCCCCATGGCATTTTCCCAAGCACTGCTCCATGCCAATAGCAGCCCCAAGCACAGCCCTGTTGCGGGTAACATGGCCAGACCAGGGTGACATTCCCAGCAGTCCTCAGCCCTGGCTGTGGGTGGGATGAAGGAACACTCCCCCATGCAGCTCCAGCAGATCAGGGCTGGGGAGAGGGCTCTGTGTGCTGCTCCCTAGGACTGTCCCAGCATGAGGTAGGGGCTGGCTCTCCCCGGGTGCCAGGACTGTGCCTTCACACAGCCCCAGCCCTTAGCCACAGTCATAAAAGAAACAGCCATACTCCTTTTTCGTTCCTGCTAAGTGATTTCGGCTGTTGCCTGAGCAGCATGAACTGGGAACCAGCTCCCCACAGCCCCTTGCCAGTGCCATCCCAGTAATGCCATGCACCAGAGCCCTCCTGGGGCACAAGCAGGGTCAATCTGTCCCCTCAGGCCTTAAGCTTTGTCCCTCACCACACTGGCCCAGCTTTGTCACTGTGTGCTCCAATGGTTCCCACAGGCACCCCTGGGCTCAGCCACTGGTGTGACTGGGATGCCTGGGTCTGGGCTCCAAACCACTTGGAGCAGCTGGGACAGCTGGGCAGAATGCTGCTGGAGAGGGCATTTGGGGCAGTTTTCCCCAAGGACTTTCTGCTCCATCCCATCAGGTCGCTGCCAGGCAAGGACAGAGCCCACGCACTGCCATCGCCCCCCTCCTCCGGGTGCACATCTGGTCAACAGATGCTGGCCCAAACACTGGCTGGAGCTGGGGACAAAGGCTCTTGCTACCTCCTCCCAGCAAGGCAGAGCCAGCACTGCCGGGTCCAGCCAGATCTGCCTCTTCCCAGGCTGTGACAGCACTCGAGACCTTTCTGGGGGCTGGAAGGAGGTACCCAGCTCACCTGCACAGTGCAATGCTGAGCACAGCACCCCAAGCACTGACAGCAACCCTGATGGCTTGTCCATGGGTGGGCCCATCAAAATACCCTCCATCCCAGACAGCTCCTGCTGACCCAGCGCTGGCATGCGGCCAGGCTGGAAAGCCATCCAGAGCCCACACACCTTTGGGAGATCATTTTAGACTTGTCCCAACAAAACAAGCCTCACCTGACCACAGTTCTCTGTGCCACACTCATATTATTTTACCAAAACAAATGGTGCTAACCTGTAAAACTCCAGGCAGGTCAAGCTGGGAAATATCTCCGGGAGGAGCCGGGGCTGGCTTAGCCCAGCCACTGCTGGGATTAACCATGGGGATTTACTCCAGCTCAGCTCATCACACCGTCCCACCACACTCCAGCATCGTCAGCACGTGGGCAGGAGAAGGCAGGGGGACCCCAGCCACCATGGCCATTGTGGGGCCTGGAGGGTTGGACAGAGGGGTGGGAGAGAAATAACCAAGCTGGAAATCATGACACAAAACATGCATTCATTTTATTCACAAAAACAGCCTGGATCGCTAAAACATTACAAACAGCATTTCAATTTAATGATGGAGAGAGCTGGAGAGACTGGGGGTGAACAGAAGAGAAATATCACTTTGCGTAACTGCTTCAGCACAGGTCCTGCAATATTGGCTTTATTTTGATTTTAACTTCCATAAGTTTACAAAAATTACTTCTAGGAGTAAACCGTTGCAAATAGGAGGATTTTCTGTACGCAGCGTTTCTTGTTCTATATTAATAAACTAACAATGACCTTTTTTTTTTTTGCCTTTTTTAACTCTTTTTTTTCCTTTTTTTGAATTCCGCCAGTTGTGTGTAGCAATTGTTTTCTTCCACCTTTTATACCGACCCTCGTGCGGGTTAAACTTCCAGAGGTGAATGGCGAGGAGAAGGGATACTACATCGCTTTAAACATATTCTCATTTATAAACATGAAGTTGAGGCATTCTAGAAACTATCCACTCTATTGTATGATGGGAAAGAATCAAATAAAAAGTATAAATGAGGGTGCAATTAAACAACTGTGCTAAATTACAGTAGTGCTTATTAGTAACTAGATTTTAAAAGGTTACTGTAAATTTACATTCC